TTCTTTTATCCAACTACTGCAAGCTAGAATTTTACATACATAATACAAACACAAATAAATGAAAGGTAGTAACCTGAAAAGATTCACAGTATTCTTTTTTTTTTTTTTTTGGTCAGTCATGGGACTTGAGCTGAGCCTAGATGCTCTTCAGCTCAAGATGAGTGCTCTACCACTTAAGCCACAGTGCCACTTTCAGTTTTCTGGTAGTAAATTGGAGATAAGAGTCTGGGGACGAGGAGGGAGCTGGGAAGGTGGCTCAGTGGTAGAGTGTTTGCCTTGTATCCATGAGGCCCTGGGTTCAATTACTCAGCACTACATAAGCAGAAAAGAAAAGCCAGAAGTGGTGCTGTGGCTCAAGTGGTAGACTACTAGCATTGAGCTGAAGAGCTGAGGGACAGTACCCAGGCCCAGAGTTCAGGCCCCACGACTGGCATTAAAAAAAAAAAAAAAGAGTCTTATGGACTATCCTTGCCCAGACTGGCTTTGAACCGTTATCCTCAAATCTCAACCTCCTGAGTAGCTAGGATTATAGGCATGAGTCACTGGCACCCAGCTTCACAGTATTCTTTAGAAGTTAGAACACAGGGGCTGGGAAGGCAGCTCAGTGGTAGAGTGCTTGCTTTGTATGCATGAGGCCCTGGGTTCAATTCCTCAGCAACACATAAGCAGAAAAAGCTAGAAGTGGGGCTGAGTGGTAGAGTGCTAGCCTTCAGCTGAAGCGCTGAGGGACAGCGCCCACGACCAAAGGAGAAAAAAATAGAAGTTAGAACACAAAGCCAGGGGTGGTACAACACAGATGAAAATAAGACAGAAGGCTTGTTTGAAGACAGCCTGGGCTACATAGTGAGTTCCAGATCAGTCAGACTAGGTTCAAAAACAAAAAACAAAAAAACTAGAAGAAAGGAGGAAGGATTCTAAATGCAAATCCCTTACCCCTATTGGAAATTAAATCGAGTATATGCTCCCCTCCGTGTGTGTGTGTGTGTGTGTGTGTATGTGTGTGTGTGTGTGTGTGTGTGTGTGTCTCTCTCTCTCATGTGTGTGCACGTGTGCACCAGTACTGGCACTTGAACACAGGACCTAGTCATTGTCCCTTAGCTTTTTTGATCAAAGATGATTGTCTACCACTTGAGCTACAGCTCCACTCCCAGCTTTCTGGTAGTTAACTGGAAATAAAACGCTTACATACTTTCCTGCCCAGGCTGGTTTCAAACCAAAATCCTCAAATCCCGACCTCCTGAGCAGCTAGGAATACAGTTGTGAGTCACCAGCACCCAGCTTTGAACCCAAGATCTTGTGCATGTGAGTCAAGCCCTCTACCAGTTGTGTTCCACCTGAATACAAATGCTTACAGAACGGCACTGCGCTCTCAGATTCTTAACATTCTCCTTCCTGTTGTATTATAGTGACTGCTTCACTTAGTTAAACTACCTGTCTAGCTTCTGTTATCACGAGTTGGTGTGGCATTTTCAAAGCACTGGGCACATCAGAATTTCAATCAACCTGCATAACCCACAAAGACCAGTGTATACTGACCACTTCCTCCGAAGCCCTTCTTGTGGATGACGAGTTTGTAAACCTTTGTGGTTCTCATCTTGTCCTATGGTTCCAGCCTTCAGCTGTTCCAATCTCGGAGCAAAGAAGTCATCTTGCCGCCCTGCCATTGAAACATAAACAAAAAAGGCCGGGAATGTCACAATGTATTGCAATTGCTCTTGGATTTTAGGCCACTGAATATACTGATGTCACTCAGCTGACAGGTGGCGCCAACCCTAGGATGAAATCAGGCCTCAAATGCCAAGTCAAGAGGAAGAACACATAGAATCTAGGAACTAGGGCAGATTTGGGCCAGAGTCTGGTCAAACATAAGAAAGTATAGTCTTTCTTGCACCATCGCTAAAACTAAGACTTGCAGTAAATGAGGCGCTCATTACCTTGTCCCCCGCCTACATCAATAATAGCCAAACGAGATCTTAGAAGAGGTTAGTCCACTCCATCTGTTGGATGAGGAAAATGAAAACCACTACCAGGGACTTACCCAAGGTCACTCAGAAAAATGAGAAACACTTCCACAATTCACGTTTCACTCACACTATTCTGGACCAGGCCAATACAAATAGGGAAGAAGGGATGGGGCACCTTTGTGGAACCTCTCCATCTGTACCAACCATCACAGGACCCTCTGGCCTCTACTTCGCCGCTTGAGGCACAGAGAGGGAGAGAGACTTGTCCAAGGTCACACAGTGGATTAGGAACAGTCAGGACTCGAACTTGAACCCACGACCCCTTTTCCTCAAACAACATCTCCCTCCCCCCAACCCCCACCCCATACACACACACATACACACTCAACCTCAATGCCGGGCAGGCAGCTCCACTCACCCGCGGCTCTAGAGCCTCTTCGCGTCTCAGGCCGGGCCCCGAGGGCCGGACCCTCGCCAGGGACCGAGCTCCTCCTCTGGACACCCCAGCTAAGACTCCACGGCCCGCGCAGCTTCCGCCCCTGAGCTCGAGGCGCCGGCAGGCCAGCCCCGGACACAGAGCGTTCACCTGAGAGCCCGCGCCGCTCCCGTGGCTCCACCCCCTGACACGCCCCCTTCCCGCCCCCACGACATTCCGCCCCCCCCCCCCCCACCTCCCCCGCCGCTCTAGCCGAACCTCCGCTTCGTCTCAGTGGCCGCGCTACTTCCTCATCCGGGACTCGCGTCAGGGGCGGGGAGTCAAGCCGGGTCTCTGGATCTGGCCTTCTCTCGGCCTTCCCGCCTCCCCGGAGAGGAAATCCGGAGATGTATTCCAGATCCATAACCTAGTGTCTTGTATCCTAAGGATCTGGGGCAATCTTAGAGAGCTCTCTTTCAGTTTAATCGAGCTTAGTGACTTCAGACTGGCCCAGAGTGACTACTGGTCAATGCAAAAAGAAAGTTTCTGGGAGAACTTTTGCAATGTGCAAAGATCTGAGGACCTGAAACTTGCAGTGTTGGCTCCTGCTAGGAAGGATCATCAGTCCACCTGGCGGGTCTTTGCAAACCCCGACCGTCCCCACCCCACCCCCCAAAAAAGATGTTACGCTCCTCTACTTATTATTCACAAGAGCTACTAGGATTTCAGACATCTGTAGGGTAACCCTACTATATGGTAGGCACCTGGCTATTTCACTGCTGAGAAACCAAGCCTGAGGAATTACATTTAGGAGGTAGTACAGACAGATCAAGACCTTATCCCATCCAGTTTAACGTGCAATAAGTATTCAGGGTTGGCTGGGCCAAGCTCCCATTTGTTGGGACATCTTTTTACAGGAAGAAAACCAGAGGGGCTGAGAAGGTGGCTCAGTGGTAGAGTGCTTGCCTTGCAGGCATGAGGCCCTGGGTTCAATTCCTCAGGGTTCAATTCCTCAGGGTTCGATTCCTCAGGACCACATAAGCAGAAAAAGCCGGAAGTGGCGCTGTGTGTGCTTTACGTGGTAGAGCGCTAGCCTTGAGCTGAAAAGCTGAGGGACAGGGCCAAGGCCCAGAGTTCAGACCCACCCACCCACACACACACACACACACACACACACAAAAAGGTGTCTCAGACTTTCCTTCCCTCTCTCCATTGCTGGCTTCAAACCTTGGTTTTTGAGGGGCTGGGAAGGTGGCTCAGTGGTAGAGCGCTTGCCTTGCATCCATGAGGCCCTGGGTTCGATTCCTCAGCACCACATAAGCAAAAAAAGCTGGAAGTGGTGCTGTGGCTCAAGTGGTAGAGCACTAGCCTTGAGCTGAAGAGCTGAGAGGCAGTGCCCAGACCTAGAGTTCAGGCACCATGACTGGCAAAAACAACAACAACAAAAAAAAAACTTTGGTTTTGAGTTCTCAGCCTTCTGAGTAGCTAGGGTTAAAGGTATGAACCACCTATACCAGATGACAATTGTCACTTAAAAAAACTAATACTACTAATTTTTGGCAATAGGGGTATAGTTCAGTAGTAGAGTGTTTTAAAAGCACACAAGAGGTCTACAGGCCTAGCAGAATAAAATGCCTAGCAGAATAAAAAGCAAAGTGTAATATAAATGGAGAAAATCATGAATATTATTAGCTGACTCCAAAAAAAATATATTCATTAGGAAATTGGCTTCCTTCTTACCTCTAAGGGATTAAATGACATGTAGAATGCTTCTTTTGGACCCTATGGTGCGAAGTGCATATTTAAAAGCAGGCCTAGAAGAAGGATGAGGCAGGTCACAGCACTTTTTGTTTCTTCAACCTTTTATCAAGGTCTGTTCATTATATATAGTCACAGTACCCAACATTAGAAGGAAATAAATGTTAAACCTGGGGATGCATGAAGCCCTGGGTTCGATTCCTGAGTACCACATAAGTAGAAAAAGCCAGAAGTAGTACTGTGGCTCAAATAGTAGACTGCTAGCCTTGAGCAAAAGAAGCTCAGGGACAGTGCCCAGGCCCTGAGTGCAACGCCACAACTGGCAAAAAAAAAAAAAAGGTTAACCCCTTAGGGAAATAAGGATGTCTAGAGAACGTGATCCATTGGTCGAAAATGATACAGAAAAGTGTAAACAATAGAAATCTGTTGCTTTGTGGAACTGTGGAAATCTCAACTGAGGCCAAAAAGCTTAATAGCCGAGTCAAAAGATGTGTTTCCCTTTAAGAGGCTGAACTGCAAAAGGGACTCTGTGTGTGTGTGTGTGTGTGTGTGTGTGTGTGTGTACATGGGCCTGTGTGTGTGTATGTGTGTGTGTGTGTGTGTGTGTGTGTGTGTGTGTGTGTACATGGGCCTAAGGCTCTGAATTCAAACCCCCGTTATTCGCCCCGAAAAAGTTAAACAGATAAAACAAATTCTGAGCTGCAGGGGCGGGGCTAAGAGAGCCGCAACTAACAAGGGGCGGGGGAGGGGGGGAGTCGAAGGCGGGAAAGGGCCGCCCTTTTTTGGAGTGCGCACGCGCACTGCGGGGGCGGGATTTGGGCAAGTCCGCATGGCTGGCTGAGGTCCCGGATGAGGAAGTGTGGGCGGACCATAGAGACGGTGAAGTGTCTGCGGCCCGGAGCGCCCCTAAACCTGGGGCGCTGCAGGTTCAGGTTAGTCTTGGCCGCGGCGGGGCTGCGTTTGCCGAGGCCAAGCTGGAGGGACAGGCCCGGGCTACGGAGCAGGCCTCAGGGTAAGACGCTGGGGGCCGGGAGACTTCACGAGGAGCCGTCCTTCCCTAGAAGGGCCTGAGGGGACCCTCCGCCGGGCGGTTCGGGCTAAAGAAGGATCCCGGGACAACCCCCCCCCCCCTTCCCCCGCCGTCGGGATGCAGAAGGGGACGGAGGCTGCGCTGCGGGCGGCCGATGAGCCAGAGAGAGAAAAAGAGAGAGGAGAGGTTCCCCACTTCCCTGGGAGAAAACAGCTTCTCCGAGTCATGCCTCCGACGGGGGAGGGGAGGACCCCAACTTCTTTCCTCAGGGAGGACGATGCTTCTAAATCGTCGGCGTACGCCTCTGCAGGTCTCCTTTCTGTGTGTCAACGGAGGGAGACCTACTCGGTGCCAAACGCGGGACTGTGCCCCTAATCTAAGGAGGGGTAACCCCGAAACGAGACTATCCCCCCCCCCTCCCCCCCCGCTAACGCCATCCAGGTGAAGGGGACCACTCGCTACTGATCCTAACTAAAAGTGACGGTGGGGAATCTTCCTTTCCCGTAAGAAACTTTACCCACTTTTCAACCCCAGGATATAAAGATCTTGTAAATGCAGTTCGAAATCAAGTCGTTTGCCCCTTTCCCCAATCTTCTCTATAGAGGGAGCCTTGCTCGTCCGCTTCCCGATGTGTAACGAGTTCCTTTACCCTCTCACTATTTATGAGAGGATGGCTTTTGGAGTGTGAGATCGACGACCCTGTGTCTCCTACTTCAAATCTTTGTGACCTTGACTCATTGCCTAGCTTCTGTCAAGTCTCATCTCTAATTTGAACCGTGCCCCTACCCCCCCGATTGTCAGGAGGGCTAAGGGAGATTCTGTGCAAATGCTTAATACATAGAATACAATTGACACATATATTAAGAAAACTAGTATCTTGCACCGAGAAGCAGAGGTTTGCATGCATGGCCTCCACTTCTCTCTCCATGAGTTTTCAACCCTTTACACCGATTTAAAAAAAGACTTCCTCCACCCCAGGGTGGAGAAAAAGATACTTTTAAAAAAAAAAAAAAAGACTCTCCTCTTAGGTCCTTCATACTCCCCACATTAACAAAGAAGGCCTCACTGAGGAGATTCAGGAAAAAAGACAGCTTTCAGAAACAGGTCAGTACTCTTAGAAGGGAGAGATGTGTTGACAGAATCTAGTTTTTTCTTTGTCCATGAAATCTGTTACTTCTTCATGGCTGGTTAGAGCTGTCTTCCCCCACTCCTGCTTATTCTAGTGGTTAAACAAAAAGCTGGGCTCCATTTGTTTATGCCATTAATCCTAGCTACTTAAGGGGCTGAGATCTGAAGATTGTGGTTCAAAGCCAGCCCCAGCAAGAAAGTCTATTATACTCATCTCCAATAAACTACCAAAAAGCGGAAGTGGAGCTGGGCTCAACTGGTAGAGCTTAAGCACAAAAGCTCAGGAACAGTGCCCATGCCCTGAGTTTAAGCCCCAGGAACCCACCCCCCCTCCATGCACCCACTGCAAGAGAATGAGTCCAACTTCTACATATCTCTGACTCTCCAAGAAAAATAAGGGTACAATTGAGGAGAGGACTTTTTCCTGCTATCTATCTAAAATAGTGCATATGGTTTCCTCTCTCTTTTTGAAAAAGAGATGGAAATCTTTCCATATGCGGAGTCTTTTGTCAGTAGAAATCAGGGACAGATTTTACTATTTCCCTCTTCTTGTGGAAACAGAGTTTTTGTTTTGTTTTGTTTTTGTTTTGGTTGCTGCTACTAAAGAGAGGAAAAGGAAAACCATACTTGATGTTTTTGAGATTTCTTGCACACACATGTTGGAGAGCTGGGTCCTGTTTAATTTATGTGCTTCCTTACTTTGCTCTCTATTTGTCTGGAGATCTTGTTAATAAGATTCTTCTTTTTCTATACCTCAAGTAGAGGCCCTTTTCTGAATTTCCTCATGAAAGGATTGGCTAAAGCCTCTGAATCTTTGAAAAAGACAAAGTCCCTTTTCTCAAGGTGAAAGGAGCATTGTGACTGTCTCAGGGTCTGATCATTATTGTGAATATTGTTACATGACACAGGCATGGCTGCTCTACGTTATTAACAGCTCCTTTGCATTGAAATTGAAGGGGAGACCTACAGTCTGGGGATTATTGGGGCACATGGTTTTCCGTTACGCTGTTTTCTTTGTTTAATTCCTTACCCCTAATTTTTTATTTCTTACTGTGTTTACATCCAGAAGTTTTATTTGGGGGACTGCTGAGTGACTCAGATAAAAGTTGCTGCTTTGTCAGGGTTTGGTAGTATAAAATACTCAGAATAAAATTGAGAGCTGCATTGTTGCTCATTCAGTAGTAGGTTTCTGATTTTATTTTCCATGTGTTTGGTTTTGGGGAGGATCTAAATGAACACTTCCAAATTACCTGAAAAGAAAAACTCCCTTTTTTTTTTTTTAAATGAGCAAGGTGTTCTTAAATTACCCCAAATGCCCTTGTACTTACTGAGAAGATTAGTGTGAGCTCTCTAGAACTATTGTTGTTGGTGTCTGGAGGTGTTCTTTGATGAAATAAAGAGAAATATAAAAGTTACCCTTTGAGAGGCCTAGGGTTTAATGGGTAGTGAGACCCTTTGTCTATTTTACAAGGGAAAATCAAGCCTGGGAAAGTTCATTTCACTTTCACTTAACACTTTGTAGGCTAGAGGACTAGTGAGTGGAGTCAGAAGAGTCAGAATAGAGACTGGCTGGGTGCTAGTGGCTCATGCCTGTAATCCTAGCTACTGAGGAGGCTGACATTTGAGGACATTGGTTCAAAGCCAGCCCGGGCAGGAAAGTTCCATTAGACTCTTATCTCCAATAAACTACTCATAAAACAGGAAGTGGCGCTGTGGCTTGGGTGATAGAACACTAGCCTTGAGCTGAAGAGCTGAGAGACAGTGCCCAGGCCCAGAGTTCAAACTCCACCCAAAAAGAAAATTTGAGACTCTGGCCTTCTCACTTGGAGACCAACAGTTTTTGCTTTTGAAACTGAGATATATGCACATGACTTCTAACTTAAAAGATTTTTTTTTTCTTTTTTCTTTTTGTCAGTCATGGGCCTGAACTCTGGGTCTGGGCGCCGTCCCTCAGCTCTTCAGCTCAAGGTGAGCAGTCTACCACTTGACCCAAAGTACTGTTTCCAGTTTTCTGGTGGTTAATTGGAGATAAGAGTCTCACAGACTTACTTTCCTGGGCTGGCTTTGAACCCCGTGCTTCAGATCTCAGCTTCCTGAGTAGCTAGGATTACAGGCATGAACCATCTTTTTTGCGGGGGAGGGGGGTCCGGTTGTGGGTCCTGAACTCTGGGCCTGGGTGCTGTCTTAGCTCTTCAGCTCAAGGCTAGTGCCCTACCACTTGAGCCACAGCACTACTTCTGGCTTTTTCTGCTTATGTGGTGCTGAGGAATCCAACCCAGGACCTCATGCATGCAAGGCAAGCACTCTACCACTGAGCCACCTTCCCAGCCTTAACATGCGTAATTTATGTTCACTGTTTTTATTTGCTTGTATGTTTTTTTTTTTCTGGTGCTGACAACCAAAGCTAGAACCTCACACTTGCTAGTCTAGCCCTCTACTACTGAGCTATACTCCCAATTCCAAACCCAGGGTTTGTTGTTTTTTGTTGTTTTTTTTTTTGTACAGTATACAGATAAATATTTAGTGGTTTCATTCACCCTACACTGTTAATACTTGTTTATAGAGTAACACTTTCCTCTGTGCATGTATCGGATCTTTTATCAAAACAATCCTGATGTTGCTTTAGTTGAATAAATCAGGAAATTTTCTATATAGGAATGTTTCTCCATTATGAATTTTGATTATTCCCTTGCATTCAGAAGTGCAGGTTTTAAAGAACTTGAATGTCTTAAAACTGTTCTTCCTATATTCTATAGCACTGCCAATATTTTGATAGATGGTGATATGAGCTAGCAAGCAAAGAATAATTTAATCTATTGCTGTAGGCCTGCATTTAAATATCACTTCCCCTCTGAGGGATCCAGCTGTTCTTGCTCAAAAACAGTGACCAGCTGTTGTGTAACTCATCTGCAGATTCTCCTCAGAAATTTGAGGACCTAGAGTTGGACTAGAAGAAAAAGGAGGTAATGTTTTGCTTCTGCAGGAAGTATGCCTATTTTTACAGGTTGAAAATTCTTAGAGTTGTGTCTAATGGAATATCAACAGATATACAAGATATTTTTTTCTTGGTTGTTGTTGCTTTGGGCCAGTAATGGTGCTTGAACTCAGGGCTTGGGTTTAGTCCCTGAGCTTTGTTTACTCAAGGCTGTTACTCTACCACTTGAGCCTTAGCTCCACTTCTGTCCTTTTGATGTTTATTTAATTGGAGCTAAGAATCTTAACAGCTTTCCAGCCCAGGCTGACTTTGAACCAGGATCCATAGATCTCTCAACCTCTTGAGTAGCTAGGATTACAGTTGAGAATCACTAGTTCCCAGCAGGTTTTTGTTCTTAAGACAGGGTCTCATGTAGTCCAGGGTAGCCTTGAACTCAAGATCCATCTACTTCACCCTTCCAAATCTTTGGATTAAGTTTCCATTTTGGCCAATGCCTATTTACAATTTTGATACAGAATTGGGAAAGGTAAAGTACTCCTTTCTCTGAAGAACACTTCACAGTTGTATGCAATTATTTTTACTGACTTCTCTCTCTCTCTTTGTTTTTTTCTTTTTTGGTGATGGACCTCAGACATTCTAAACAAGTGTTGTACCCCTGAGCTATCCCCAGCCCCTATAGTTGGCTCAGTGGTAGAGTTCTCACCTCCCATGCATGAGGCCCTGGGTTCAATTTCTCAGCATCACATAAGCAGAAAAAAGCTGGAAGTGACACTGTGGCTCAAGTGGTAGGGCGCTAGCCTTGAGCTGAAGAGCTGAGAGACAACACCCAGGCCCAGAGTTCAGGCCCAAGACCGACAAAAAAAAAAAAAAAGATGTGTATATTAAACATATTGCTTTGTGACCTTGGGTGGAGCAGTAT